GGCACAGCCCTGTCAGCTATTCTTGCGGCACCGCCAGCTACAACGTAGGCAGGTGCAATTTTATCTAACAAATGACCACATAAGTCAACAAAAATGGCTAACTAGCCGCTGTTTCTTACTTTCCATTTAATGCCTTTTTGCTTTTTTTGATCGGTTCCATTTAATGCCTTTAGTCACTCTTAATTAGCCTAAAAATAGCTTGTTTCACCAGCTTTGTACGCATCCAGTATTTGAATTAAAATATTTTGGAAACGGCATTCGACCCATTTCAAACTTGACGGGGTTGGATTTAATTGATTCAAAGTTTGATTTTAAAAAATATCTTTACTTCAAGTTTTTTTAATGTTCAACAAAGAAAAAAAAAAATCCGAACCCTTCGGGTGGGGTGGTAATAACCACCATGGTGCATTCTTCCTCCCCCAAGGCTGGGGTTCGAACCCAACTCCTTGTAAAATTTGTTAAAAAAAAAAAAAAAGAATTAAAGTATTTTGAGTTTCAATTCACTTGTGTTGCTAGTTGAGCGTGAATTCTCTTTATTTCCTTTTATATCTTGAGGTTTAATTTTGAAATGTTGATATGTAATTTTAGTTGTTAATTATTTTTGTCTTTTAATATATTAAAAATATATAAAATTTATTTTTTAATAAATTATATATATTTTTAAAATAATAAAAAAATAAAAATTAAAACATTAAGAGGTATTGTTAAATGCAGTTTAAGTGTTGTCAATTTAAATGATGTTTTAGATAATCAAATTCATAATAGAAAGATGGAAAATTTCAAAAGCCACCAATATTCCTACAAATGTTTAGCGATGTCAAGTGTCCCTAACTTAAAGATTATGATTTGGGAAAACATCCTAATTAGCTCATTTATAATTTTTTTCTTTAAAAGTAAAATGTTATAAACTAAGAAATGAAAAATGATTATATTTCATTATGCAGTTAAAAATAAAAAAAATAAAAATCTTAGACCAAATTCATGTAATACTAAATAATAAACTCTCAATGCAACCAAAAAAACAAAAAAGAAAAAAAACAAAAACAAAAACAAAGAGTTGTCAAACAAAACAAATTAATGTTGAACGTTGAATTTATATATGTCACGGGCAAATATTACATTTTCACCAAGGAAATGTCACATTGAAATAAATTATTACTAAAAAAATATCTATGTAATTTATTACTTTAAATTTTTATATTTTAAAATTTTGACTTAAATTTCAACAATTATAATTAGTTTTCATTAAATTATTACTCTTAAAGTTTTTTTTAAAATTAACGGTAGTTATAAATTTTAAATTAATTTCTTAAAAATAAAAATCTAAAGTGACAAATTAAATCAATATGTATATATTTTTGACAATTAACTTCAGCAAAATAAGTTTTAAGGAAATCCGCATCTTTGTCCTTTTCACCATGCTCCTTGTCCAAAACTTCAATTTCCTTGTTCTCTCAACTCAACATAACCATATATATCACACACAATCTGATTTTATAATTTTTATTTGCACTAGTAGTTCATGGTAAGCTGGCTATAGGAATCAAATGCTTTGATTCATGTCAAGATTTCAATTTCTATTGAAATAGTTATAACATTTTTTTAATATTTATTTTGATTAAAATAAATAAATAAATAAAAACCTCAACATAACCACATTCATGAAGCATATCCAAATCCATCTTCTATGGCACCTAACTTTATAAGTTAGTTGGTTGAGGTGCATCTCTCTGAATCCATGAATTGGTTCAATTCCTTTTCTCTTTTTTTAAATTGCACTTGTTTTTTTAAAAAATAAAAAATAAAATCCATCTTCTATGGAGAAATAACCAATTAAGAATTATATAAAGCATATCCAGCAACTATGTAGCCTCAGGTAAGTTGTCTAAATTACAAAAGCATTATTAATTAATCAATTAATCATCCCCTGAAGTCCTACACTTGCATAAGCTTCTTAAATAGACAATTGAAATTAAAATTATTAGGCGGCGGATGCTTTAAAGAACAATTCTACAGCATCATCAATGCGCTCCACTTCACAAAGTGATCCGAGGGCAATACTAGCCGTCACCTGATTGTGATTAAACCCATTGGTAACCATGAAATTAAGGGTTTTAAAGAAGACGAGATCAAGTGGGGACTTTTTCGTGGCGATGATGGAATTAAAGATCTTCGTAGTGGAGGGGAAGGTACCGCGATCGAGGAGGTTTCGATTGCCGACCGCTGTTCGGCCTTCTTCCAAGTAGGGGTGGGCACAACCCGGTTTCGATTGAAACCGAAATTGGTTTTGAATTAATCAAATTTTTTTTTCAATTTTGAGGATCAAACCAAACCTAATTTTTTACAAACCGATTCATTTGATTACAAATAAAATCAGTTTCATTTGATTCAGTTTTGATTTTTATCAAATAAACATTCATCAATTTTTTTTCAATAATAAATTATATTTCATGTCATATTTTATCATATTTTGTAATATTTATCCAAATTTTAGTTTTCAAAAAACTCATTTTGGTTTTTAGTTAATGAAAGATTCAACCAAAATTAAACTAAAATTTATTCAATTAATATCGAATTAAAACAAAAAAACTCAAAAAACTCAAAAAACAATTGAAACCGAATCAAATTTATTTTTTCGACTCAGTTTCTAAGTAACCATTCGGCTACCCATCCGAATGCCCATCCTTACTTGGAAGTTTGCCACCCCTTTTCTGAGAGAATGTCTTGAGAAGGTGAAGAGGTGGGGTTGGTGTTTGCGTTTGCATTCAATCTAGGGCCTCTGCATTGCTAATAGTGGTCTGCGTTTCACGACGGCGGGATTTTTACCATTTTCTTCCACCCTCGTCGCTTCGGTCTTTCTTTTTTATGTTAACTCGGGTTTTTTGGAATTTAAGATCGAAAAAGGGTTCTTTTGAGCTAGAACAACCCATTTAAGTTTTGGGCTGCTCAAAAGATCAGGGCTTTCTTAAGGTATATATATTGATTGACCCAAATAAAAAACAAGTCCCATGTCCATTCATTTTATGTTCTTTTTTTTCGTTGAAAATAAATGACGGAATAAACAGAATAAAAAAAATGTTTTTTTAAATCCCAAAGTAGAAGTATTAAGGAAAGTGATCAAATGATATGATTTGCTCTTTACTGCAGATATGAATCCCGCTGCATGGGAAATAGCATTTTATTCTTGTTTCCTTTTATGACTATATTAATATCTTGGACAGTAATTTTTGGTATACACTTGGTAAGAGTTAAAAGTTTATTTATTATTATATAAAAAATATATTTATTATATATTTTTATAATTAATTTATATTAAAAATATAAATATAAGTTTAAATTTAATTAATTAGTTAGTTAAAGTTATTTACATAAAAATAATATTAAAATAAATATTAATTTTTATATTTTGTATAAATTAATTACAAAATATTATAATAATTACAGTATTTAAGGGTATAAGTTAAAATAGATCCATAAAAATATCAACCGATTCAATCTACCTTTATTAATGACTTGTTGATTCAAGTCGAAAGAATTTGATTTTTTTAAAATAAAATTTTAAGTTTGAGTTTTGTGAATGGAGAAATAGATGTTAGGAGAGTTTCCTTTTAGTGGAACCGAGTAAAGGTGCAAATAAGGATTCCAACTTTGCACCTTTTTCTATTTAAAGATGTTAACGTTGTCATTTTTTAAATAAGGATATCAATTTTCTAAATAAGAATGTCAACTTTCAATTTTTTTTTATTTAAGGATGTCAATTTTCAACTTTTTCTATTTAAGGATTAATTGGTTGTGATGATGACATCAGCTAACATTTTTTTAGGTTAAATATCTAAATTGGTCTCTCAACTTTTATTTTTGAACCAATTCATCCTTAAACCTCAGAAAGTACCAAAAACATCCCTCAACTTCAATTTTCAATTTCGTTTTTCCATCAATTAAATGTTGATGTAGCTAATTTTTTTGCTAAGTGATTGAATATTTTACATTTTCAATATTAGGTGGAAAATCCATCATGTAAAAAACGATTATGTGGATTTTTTTAATTTTAAATAATTTAAAAATTACTTTAATTCTTAATTTTACTTTATTTATATTTAAAAATTAAAACAATTAATATATTTTCCCATTTAATTAGTCCCACCTACCATTTAATAAAATTAAATAAAAGTTAATTAATTCTTCCATGAATTAAGAAATAATTTTATTAATTGAAAATTAAAGTTGAAGGATGTTTTTGATACTTTCTAAAATTTAAGGATGAATTGGTTCAAAAATAAAAGTTGAGAGACCAATTTAGATATTTAACCTAAAAATATATGTTAGCTGACCGCAGCATCACAACTAATTAATTTTTAAATAAAAAAAGTTGAAAGTTGACATTCTTAAATAAAAAAAGTTTAAATGAAAAAAATTAAAAGTTGACATCCTTAAATAAAAAGAGTTGAAAGTTGATATTTTTAAATAAAAAAATTAAAAATTAACATCTTTATTTAGAAAATGATAAAATTAACATTCTTAAATAAAAAAAGTACAACGTTAGAATCTTTATTTACACCTTTACTCTAGTGGAATCCAACGTGATTCGATTCAAAATTATTTAAAATCTAATATAATTAACAGATACCAAGAATCTAATATAAAAGGAAAAAAATTCAGTCTACCTTTTATTGGTTTTTTTTTTTTAATGGGATTATTGTTCTGTTAAAATGTACAATCTGCACACTAAAGGTACATCCGGCAGAGCAGAAGCGAAAGGCTTTTGGTTGTAACAGTCAAGATTATTGCCATAATCAACTTGCAGCAAATCACAGTATCTCTTATAGAACCCGATACGGTCCGCAACCTGTGCTTTTGAACCTAATTCGCCACATTCAATGGCACCGTTGATGAGGTTGGTAATGGCCCCGTAGCCGGGGACTCGACCATCTGACGTGTCTGTGGCGGATGGGCGCCATTTTCCGGTGATTACATCGTGACATGAAGGGTTGGGGGACCGCGGAGTCATCCAGAACCAAAGAGCTGTCTGGAAAGCAATGAGAGGGTCCCTTGTTACAGCATCGGGGTCATTTAGCAAGTCTTGGTTAATATGCATTCCAGCTGGACCGTAATTGTAATTGCTGCAAAGTCAAAGTCAATGTCAAGAGTCAACAATTGGGAAACTGCTCTGCACCTTCAATATGACAAGTCATTTCCTAATTTTTCCGCAATCTTTTCCCAGTCAAGCAGTCATAAAAGAATATTAGTAAATAATTTTTTAAAAAAATTGTGTTAAATTATAAAATATTAATAATTAAATAAAAAATATTAATATTTAAAACTTTATTTTTATTTAATAATTTAAATTAATAATAAAATACAAATATTGTGAGATGGAGAGAGCTAGAATAATATATACTTAACTATGAGATCTGGAAGGGACCTCGGCCGTAATACTTTTTGCCGGGAGCACAAGGCCATTGTTGACTTGGAGCACAATAATCTGCAGGGTTACCTTGCTCTTGAAGGTAGCAATAGCCCCATGCGTATGGACCATCTGAGGCATTAGCCGGCCCACCTATACAAGAGCTATTAATTACAAACAATCTTCACATTTTGTAAAGGTTTTAATTTCAAAATTTCATATTCTTGTAAAAGTTATATACTGGAAAAAAAAAAGAAAAGAAGAAGTATGGATAGATTTGTGAAGTGAAGTATAGGAATTAAACCTGAAGTTTCGTGAGAAGTTTGAGCTAAGAAGGCGGCAATCTCTCTTTTCCTAGTGTCAATGTCACCGGTGGTACCAAAAGCGCCAAAAGAGTTGGCTGCAGCGGCAATGAAAGCTTCATAGCTGTAGAACCCCTTGGCAGGGCAGGCGGAATCGTTGCTATGCTTGAGCATCTCATTGAAGAGGCCTCGGCTGATGAGTGAAGTGATATCAGCCAAGGCACCTATAGCAGATGCCAAGGTGAACAAAACTAGAGTCAAAATCCTCATTCTTTTTCTCTCTTCCTATAACGTAAAAGTAGTGCTGGTCTGTGGAGTGGAAGGAAATACAGAGGAGGGTATTTATAGAGCCAAGAATATGGATCTGCAAAATAGACATGGGTTGTTTCTGCGAAATAGACATGGGTTCTTCTCAGTAAACACTCCAATAACTAAATTAATAATATTTCATATTTAAAACTCTTTTGGAAAAAGGAGGAACACGGAAAAAAGAGGAGTACGATAAAGAGAGAGAAATACTACAGAAAAAGTCCATTGCTTTTGATGAATGTAAGGGTATTTATAATTTTTTTGACAGTACTTTAAATTTTATTGATCTCTTTAAATCTATTTAATTATATATAAATTTTATGATAACTCATATATATATTTTTTATTTAAATATCGTCACTATATTTATAAATTAATTAGATTACTATCTCAACATTTTGTACTTATTTACGATCGAAATTAAGAAGTTCGGTTAGTCCAAGCTTTTATCTTGACTCTTGACAATACACATAAGACGCCAATATTGACAACAATCAGGGACAGAGCCAATGAATGATTGGGGGCGGCTGCCACCCTAAACTTTCAAAAAATATTTAATATGGTACTCTAATTTATATTTGCTAAATGATTTTTGTTTTTATAGTATGAATCATAAGGACTATTACAAATATGGTTATAAAATATTTAGACCCAAATAAGGGGTGTCAGCAAGTATAAGGTATCCCAATATTCCAACAAAAATTTGGTCAAGTAATCGGTTTTCAATAAATTAAAAATATTAATTTGAGTCAATGACTTAAATGTCTCATTGATTATCTCATATCAATCAAAGTTATGGGTTCAAGTCATGTGATACCTGGTTAAAGTGGGTATCATGAGGTTGGAGTAGGTTAAAAGATAAGAAAAAGTTGCTTTTCATTATCTAACTTAAAATTAAAAAAATAAAATCTTTGATTTGGATTAAGGTCAAGAGTACAAATCCAAGTAATATTAAACAGCAAACTCCCAAAATGTATAAAAATAATGTGTTCAGGATACAGTGAAGCTACACTTTTAAAACTTTTAATTGATGAAAAACAAAAATGTTACTATTATAATATCTTATAATATTATAAATTTATAACTATTACATATTATTATTTGAGTGACTATTTAAGAGGCTATACTTTATATTGTATATAAACATTCACTCTTTTAATGTCAATTATATTTTTAAGATTACAAGTTTATGTGATATTATAATTATCTCATTTTTTAAGGGAAAAAAAAAAGAAATTAAGAAAGTTCCTCCCGGATGGATTGGATGGAATAATTCTTAAAAAGTTCCATATGTAGGACAATTACTTACTCCTTGTATCTTATGGAGATGAAAAGACAATAAATTGATAAAAGGAAAGAGTAGTGATGCTATATGGGGATCGAATGGCAAAGGATCTCCGATTATTGCCTCTGAAAATAAATTGATAATTTGATAATTTTATTGATCATAATAAAGTTAAATATTGTACTATCATAGAATTAGAGACTACATTATTGATCTCTTTATTCTTTTGCGAATTAATTACTGCAGCAGCTTAGGCGAAGGGCCCCTGATTATTGCAATCCAAGTTTTCTCCATAACTCACACCCATAATGTCACAGTACCTCTTTTAGTAACCAATCCTATTATCCACCTCATCATCCTGGCCATGGCCGCATTCCACCCCACCGTTGATTATGTTGGTGAAGACACCATAGGCCGGGACCCGACCTGCTGATATATCTGCATCAGACGGTGTCCATTGCCCGATCATTAATTACATTGTGGCTTGATGGCTTGACCATAGTTGTAGTTGCTGCATATCCAGGACAAACAAATTTAACATTAAATATACGTAATGTTTTGAGTTGGTTAAAGTCGTTTAATAATTGTGTCGAGTATCCCGAATGAAGTGAAAGGATGACTTCCTTTCCAAGAAAAGAAAATCGATTGAACCTACCGTGTGAGTTGGATGGATCCTCGGCCACAGTATTGTTTGCCTGGAGGACATGGCCATTCACTGGATGAGCAATAGGCAGGAGGGTCGTTCCTTTCCCTAATGAAACAATATCCCCTCGCCTATGAGCCATCTGGTGCAGTTGGCCACCCTCCTACACACATATATAAACAGAGAATTCGAATTTTAATTATTATTAATTTTTTGATCAAATCATCATAATTACCATTAATTCATAGTTGTTAGACGCAGACAATATTACCAAATCAGTACACTAACCTGATGTTTCACGAGAGGTTTGAGCTAAGAAAACGGCGAGTTCTCTCTTACGAGTATTGATATCACCGGTGGTGCCAAATCCATTAAAGGATTGAGCAGCAGCGATGAAAGCATCATCCATGTAGAAACCATTGCTCTGGCATCTTACATCGCTTTGATATTTTAGCATGTCGTCGAAGAGAGTTGGAGTTATTATGCTGCCTACATCACTGCCGCTGCTGGGGTTGGGGTTGGAGTTTAGGTTGAACCGTCGCTGCCACCACACTGGCTCTGGCAGTTGGTGCAGTACCCACGGGTGGAGCCGCACCACCCGTATTGGCTACAACAGAGCCCATTTGGACACAGGGCACCCCCTGCTTGTTTTCCACATTGCTCTGCTGATGTTCCTAGCCCAAAAATTGCTACAATACCGATGATTAACACAGCTAAGAACTTCATTCTGTTTAGATATCTTGACATGTGTTTGCTTTTAAGTGCATTATCTAGGGGATATATATAGGAACTGAATTAAAAAGCCGTAGTGCGCATGTTCTTGTTTGGCTGCTGATCTGTTCATCAATTTAATTAGGGCTGTCTTTATTACTTCATTGTGTGGACCTTGGAGAAAAAGACCATACCTCTTTGGACTTTGGAAAATTTCAAGGGACAGGGTGTCCTTGTTCGATAGTTGAAGTAATCATATCGGAAATTGGATTTTGCTCATTTGATATAATGTCATGACCTAAAACCTATTGACCATCAACATTAATGTTTAATTTTTTTGGTACATCTAATGATTGAACATGTATATTAGGAAATAGTCCTTTCTTCTGGCAAAATTTTTTTTTTTCTTTTTAAGTCCTTGGATTAGAACTCAAGTTATCAACAAAGATACTTAAAACTCTTATTTAATTGTTAAGACTCTTAATTTATACCTTAGAAAAATGTCTCCAGTGGTAAAAAAAACTTAAAATATTGTGTTGAAAATCTAAAAAGAATAAAACAAAACTATATTTTTCATGTTGCCTTTACATTAAAAATGTAATTTAGAAATTAAAATTACTAAAATACCTTTATAGAACTTATGATCTTCTAATATTCTTTATAAGTTAGTTATTATAAAATGGTAAATAAAGCTTGGATGGCAGTTTAATTTGCTGTGGTGTGGACCCTTTGGCTCGGTAGAA